TGCTGTTTTTGTAAATAACCTTCCCCGGGTCACAGGCACACCCCTTTGTCCATGGCTGCGCCTCCCTATAATGACAGGGCTGTGAAGGTGCGACAGAGACCAGACTGCCCCCAGTCCTGTCGTATTTACTACCTGGCCCTTTTTGGCAGGGTCAGCCTACCCAGGATCCACGCAAAGCCTTATGGGACATCCACAGATGAGGAAGTGACTCCTGGCACTTGGGGAGGCCTAATGACAGGACAGATGTTTCCATGTGATTCAGTTCTACACAAGTGCTCACATATGGCTCTGTTCTCTTCTTAGTAGCCGACCTCGCAAAGACAGGAAATGGTGAGGCATCTATATAGATTTTCCATCTTCCAACCTGCACATGTCCGAAGGCGGGTCCTGTTCAACCATCACAACCGTGGGGTCTGTGGGGTCTTCTTGTGGCCTTTTATTCCCTATGCACGAGCCCAGTGGCCCATGGGGACCCATGCTCCAGGCCTTGAAGCACACGGCTATTTGCTTTGCAAGGATAGTGGTCCCCCCTTATCCGTGGTTTCGCTTTCTGAGGTCTCAGTTACCCCTGGTCAACCACAGTCCAAGAATATTAATGGGAAAATGTCAGAACTAGACCATCTGTACTTTTAATTTTTTTTCATTACATTTATTAAATAAATGTAAGTTCAAACATACCTCGTCTCTGAAAGTCAAATGAAAGCATACAGCATTGATGCACTTGGCTATTCCCGAACCAGCCCTTGTGTGGCTTTGCTGAAGTGACCCAGAAGCAATAGTGTGGGACCTGTCCAGTGCTGCAAAGAACAGGACAAAACAAAACATTACAACAACAAAACTTGTGCTTTCTGTATACTAATTTGAACACTGTTGTTCCTTGAATCCATATGTTTTCAATTGTGTGCTGTTCTGAGGAGCATGATGAAATCTCGTGCCGTCTAGCTGCACCCCGCCCAGGATGTGAATCGTCCCTCTGTCCGGCATCTCCATGCTGTACACGCTCCCCCCCCCTCCATTAGTTACTTGGTAGCCGCCTCGGTGATCAGATCGAAAGTCATGGTTTCTCAGTGTTTGTGTTCACATAACCCTTATTTGACTTAATAATGGTCCCCAAGCCATCCACATAACTTTTATTACAGTATGTTGTTATAATTGTTCTGTTTTATTATTAGTTACTGTCATTAATCTCTTCCTGTGCCTAATTAAACTTTATCCTAGGTGTGTATGTACAGGAAGAAACATTGTATCCGTAGAGGTCCCACTTTCCATGGCTTCAGGCATCCACTGGGGTCTTGGAACGTGTCCCCAGCAGAGAAGGGGGGGCCACTGTGAAGCATGTGAGGAGTAAAGAGAAATTTGCCCCAACCCAGCACTACTACTGGAATGTGGTCACACATGTATGTGTTAGATTTGGAGTTAGCTGTTGGATTTTCCCTGGGACTCCAAGCACAGAATCCTCCCATCCTGGCTCTGCTGAACGCCGTTTTACTTCTTTGCTCATCAGGCTCCTCCTCGGTCAGGCAGGGTGCAAAAATGCAGGATGGGTGACGGATTACGCTGGTCACGTTGGTGAAGACTGGCGTAGAGACGTCTTTCTAGAAAGCATAGCCGTTATAGTATTGCCGTGTTTTCACCCAGATGATCTTAGCTGGCAATTAACCTTAACGTTTCCTCCAAATTTTTAATTTGGCACATCCTATTTCGCATGCAAGGTAGGAGAAGGATCTCCAGAGCAAGGCAAACATTGCAATGATGGCATGACTTTTCTTCCTGTTCCCTGGTTTTTTATTGTCTACTTTTCAGTTAGGGACTCAATTCTATGTCACACAGCTACTGTGTCAGGCAGTGCTGGGCGGGGCGGGGTGGGCATAATGGTGATGAAGGTTTGGTCCCTTTGTTAAGGGGCTCAGAGACTCATGAGGACCTCAGACAGAGGGCCGAACTTTTGTTCTTAGAGTCGTAAGTCAGGGGGTTCCCTTGAGCCAGCCATGTTTCTCTCTGGACCTCAGTTTCTCCCACCCACCAGAAGAGAACAATGCTTTACCATCCTCACCCATAGGGGGAGCAGGAGAGAATTAAACATGTAAGACACAGCTGATCATGGAACTCGTCCTTTCTAAGGGCTTTGGCCACTGCAGATACTCACCCCAACAGAAGAATTCCCATGGTAACAAGAGGAGGAGGTCAAACTCTGGCAGTGACCTGGGTCTCCTCTGGCCCTGCGGACATTGGGGAATGGACGACAGAGTATCCCGCTCCAGTAAGGGGACTCTTGGTGCTTCTAGCTGGGCCTGGCCTCGCAGTCGAGCCAGTCCCCACTGCTCCTGTGGGCTCAGTCCCACTCAGTGTGCTTTTCCATCACCCACCTCCATGGGCACTGACTCCTGCCGACCTGGAAGATGGCAGGTGTAGCCCAAGAAACAAAGACTCATTTCCTGACATGAGGATGGGGGGAGTGACCTGCCTAGAAGTGGCTGAGAAGCATTTGGCCTGGGCCTGGAGCACTGCCAAGGAGTCTGCCCGTGGAGGAGGTGGTGAGGCTGAAGCAACTGTCTCTATGATTTGGAAGCTCGTTCTCCCACAGGAACGTAGAGGGGAGACGTGCCAGTCTCTCCATGGGAATAGAGAGGCTGCCAGGTCAGAGCCAAAACTGAGATGAACAAAGTCGGTGCTCAGAATCATATACAACTGCTGCTCTTAGATAGACTTGGGAGCCAGTGGATTCTCTGTGATCCAAGGAATTTACACAAACTTGCCCAGGTGGTTCTCACTCCTGTAATTTATGATGAGAGTATCTACCTTTGAGAGTTATCACCAGGATTAAATGGGATAATACACATCTAATGATTGCTGTCACTTGTTGAGCATGCCTGGGTCACTGT